TTCATTACACTGTTGTTTATCACAGTTCAATCTATAGCTTTAAATAATTCTCTTTTTCGTCAAAAGTCCACACAGTCTGGTTCAGTTACTTTAGAACCCAATTGACAAGACAAATTCTTCTTCTCTATCTCTGTTGTTACAGTACAAGCTGTGAAATGCACTTCAAAATCACCACTATAACTGTTGGTCACCACAGTTGTATCTAGAGTTTTAAATAATTGTCTCCTTTTCATCAAAGTCCACACAAGTGGGTTCAATTAATTTAGAACACTCTTTGACAAGACAGATTATTATTCTTTATCTCTGTTGTTACAATACAAACTGTCAGACTCACTTTAGAAATTGCCCATTATAGCTAAACTCACACGCAGGCTAACTTCACTTTTTATTTCACTTTCACTAACTTACTTCCCCTCTGTATCTGCATGTATTTATATCACACAACAGAAAAATTTAGAAATATCTAGCCCCCAAGAAACAACAGTATTAAACATGGCAAAAAAAAAACTTAGAAGCTTCAAGTAAAATGATGTCAACAATATTACAGAAGCCTAGTACAACAATTAAACTACATATACAATGTACGACTCATACAGAGTTATCTAACAAAACTTGTTATGAAAACTAAATAATCAGTTAGGTATTAGGTCACTAAATAATAACTCTTAAACTGAACAGTCTTGTATATCCAACAATAATAATGCTTGAAAAGTTTTTTTGTTGTGGAAAACTTGAAGATAGCTTTTATATGCGGAAACATCTGTTAGCTGAATTCTTGCACAGATTTTAAAATATAAAGTTGATAAACGGAAACATCAGCACAAGTAGATATGTAGATCTTGAAAGTCGAGTTGTTCAAAACTTGAAAATAGTGTTGATAACTGGACCAATTGTTGTTGGTTGAGATGTTGCAAAGGAAATATATGCTGAAGCTTTCTGCCAAACACTAATCATAGCAGAACCATCTGGAAAATGATTTATAGGAAATAGCACAGCTTATAAAATGAGTCAGATCAACGTAGGCCAGTAAGGCAATCACTGATTGGCATGTTCTTTAGCCAATCAGGAAATGTCACAGACCTACTGGAGGATGTGTAGATTGTATAGGAATTCTTTTTGGCAGCAAAGGACAGGTTTATGTGTTTTAATAAAGGTGGCTTCTAAAATATAGAGATGAAAGGTTGACAGACCATTTGCAATAATTTTAAACCTGCTATCGGTGTATTTGTCAGCATAAATCGGGTTCACTGGTAAATGCTGGCCAATCGCTGATTCACATTTTGGTGGTAGAACTTTTGTTTTACAGGAGCGACATGGTAAATTCTTTACTTTCACACTTTACTTCTTATGGATGTGGGTACACGTTGTTTAATTCTATCCTGCAGTCTTTGTGAAGTGCGACCTACGTACCAATAGTCGCAGTGGCACGAGAATTCATAAATAACCATACTTTTCTGTGTTGTAGGTATCGCATATTTGTGTGTTGCAGGCAACAGCTTAAGTGTGGAATAAGCACAGTAGAGGTTCACTGCAGGAAAACATTTAGTAATGGCCGTTATCAATTGTTTTTCAAATTTTGTTGAAATATTACCAATCCATGGTAGTTTTAGGTAAACATGACATTTGTTAGGACCAAGTTTTGATTAGTTGATTAGCTCGCACTTTTCTTTGAAGTAATTTGATTGATGACATTTTCTGGATACCTACTTTTTAGTAAAACAGTTTTAATTGTCTTCAATTCGAAATCTAGTTTAGATTTTGAACATATAACTAGAGCCCAATGGACTAAAATAGCAATAAGAACTTAATTTTCACGAAACACTAGAAATATTTAGACGTTCAGATTATATCCTAAATCGAAATTTTTTTTCCTGCAAGTTTCATTATAAAATTTTGGAATGCTGTATTCGCTAATAAATATATGCTTCGTGCATACAGCTCAACATCAAAATTTGGTTGTAAATGTCGAGCAGGAATCTGTTTTACATCCACGATGATTGTTACGAAACTTATACTGTAATGTTTGAAACTTAACGGATTTTTCTTCCATGATCCAATAAACGCATCATTATCAACACATCCTATAAAAAGACGTGTAGGTCCTTGACCTAAATACGCATTATTGATAGATGCTTGTAAGTTTCTCTCGGGAATTGAAACGCTTTGCACACTATATATTTCAAATTATATTTAGCTGTTCCTTCTGAAATGCTTTAGCATGTGACAGAACGACTGATGAGCTTAACTTGACTTTTCTAGCATAGATAGAAATGTGTTTTAGTACAATTTTGACACTCAATTCATCGTTTGACATAATACGAAACGAATCTTTACTTCCTATGAGTCAGAGTTGTAAAATTACAACACCAGCATGAACTTGTTCTTTAAAAAGATATCACAATGTAGACGGCCAATCATATCGACTGTTTGGCTATCACGTGTATCTATGGGTCGGTCTTTGATTTCATCATCCTCACCATCGTTAAAATTGAGATCGTCAAAATTATCTGCTATGTCTTTTATCCACACGGACAATGTCAAATGACTTATCATAGCTTCACAATTATAACTTAGTAAGGTTTCTATGTAGGCCTTATATACATAAAGGTTGTGAGATGAAGAAATCAGTTTGTCATTCAGGTGTACATCCACTTGAGAAAATAGAGAATGAAGTAACAGGTGCAGAGGTATCTTCATCCTTTTTTATGTTGTTCCCATCTGGTTTGACAATATTTGCCTTTATATGAAGATATGATTGTGCCAGTTCTAAATATTCATCTTCTAATCCCGATATAAAGAATTAGATGGGTCCTCTGTCAGTCACTAAAGATAGCAGATTCAGTCCACTGCCCTTCATCATGGTTTGTGTAGGAGGGAGTGAAAACAAGTCTAACTCAGACTTTGTACACTGACAGGACTTTTCACGTGGTAGAAGAGTCATGATTACTTGTCAAAAAAAGTCTGGAGACGATGTTCTTCGTCTCTTAGTTTTAGCTATTCTGAACATGGGACCTTTCTGTTTCTTTTTTTTATTACATAGAATATCTCGAGCTAGATTAGCTAAAGGGTTTCCTTGTATGACATCTGATGCTAAATTTATGTCTGACTGAACAGCTTGTTTTCCTAAAGCTAATGCTCCTTTTTTCAGAAATGGTAAAGCCGAACAAAACAAGTTACTCAAAACATCTCCCAATCCATGTTCCCATTGCCATTGACTACCTGCATAATAAGGTAAACCGTTTCCCAATCCATGTTCCCATTGCCATTGACTACCTGCATAATAAGGTAAACCGTTTCCCACTTGGTAATCGTCATATGCATCATTGACAGTTGATTCTTGATCGTATAGGAACTCTCATGATTGCCGACGATGGAGCATTATGATTACGTTTCCTTGTTCAAATGAGATAGGTCGACCAATGTCGTTCCTTATATCGGTCTCTTTACTCTGAATATGTTGCTTAGAAACAGGTCTGTATTAAAGATTTGTAAATGTTTCAGTAATAATGTCTTCATCTTGACCTTTAACTTGAATGATTCATATCAGTGATACATATGCATCACCAACAATACTAGGTTCCACAATATCTAAGTAAAAATAAAGTGAACAAAATCCACCATACATGTTAACAGTATATGGAGCTGTAATGGGCTTTTTTATCGTGTGATTATTATCAAATACAAATATAACTGATAGTACAGTATCGAGTGTTATAAAGGTTCCATCATTTACGTTCACGCTTACTTTTCGGATGAATGAATCATAAGTAAATATAAGTTCATTGTTGGGTTTAGAAAGTGTATCTTCTACTTGGTTTAAGATTCTAATTAAATCTTCAGGTTCTTTGTAATGACCTGGTTAATATAATTTACTATGGTAATGTAGCGAGAGTTTG